AAACACATTCCTGTGTATCTTTCATAGTTAACCAGACAGTTATTGTTTCGACAGGAAGCGAACCCAAAATATTTTTTTATATTGACAAGTAAGTGATTGCCTTTGTCAAGCCTTCAACGTACGAGTAAGTGCTAATTGCGGCATGGTTCGCAGTCGGGAATTGATCTATGATCTATGATACATCGCATCCTTAAGGAAAATACTCACAAATGATTTAAAGTTATATTAAAACGATTTGTATTATAAATATTAACGAAATTAATACAGCTTTATACAATTTTCTCTACATATTGTAAAATTAACTGCCCTTATATACGGTTAAGGTAAAATTTAGATTAGAAACTTATGAACTATGAACCCCGTAAGTCAAAATCCAATAAATTTTACTTACAATCTACGGATTTAATGTTTTAGTTTGTTTGTTTTTGTCTGACATTTATGAATAGACAGAGTTATTCATTATGTGTATAAATTTATATTATACTAGCGGATCCGACAGACGTCCTGTACACACGTCTTACACACAAACAAATTCATCTAAATCTGTCCAGCCATTTAGGAGTTTAATTATATACTTGCACAGAAGATTTATATACCTAAGCTAATAAAAGCTGTATAGATAAATAACCTAGATACCGACTGCAGATAAACTGCCATCTGATTTGTGACTCTAAACCATCCTGGGATATAATTCAATAATTCATTCAAATTGGTCCAGCCGTTTAAGAGGTCATGATATACACACGTACTGTAGAAGTATATATATATAAATAAAGCCAATTAAATATCATTAATTAAACCGCTTTCCTAGGTAGCACCTGACACAAAGATTGAAAAATTATATTTCATCATTTATTTTATCACCACCTTTGCTCATCAATCACTATATCTATAGGTGCATGAAAATCTGTGCAGTAGTTTTGTTATATATTGGGAATATACAGACATGACACTAACAATACATTAATTACAACGTACATGTGCCGAGCGCGAGTTTTTATGGAGATTTTGCTTGTAGCTAAAAATAGGATAAATTTTTATGTTTAAAATATCAATGTTATATCAATGTTTCCTATAGTTATTTATACTGTTAAAATATTAAAACCGTTTTCGTTAATATGAGCAATTTATACACAACAAAACCAATGTAGGCCACATCTCAATAACAAAGAAAACAAGATTCACTCACTTTCACTTACCCTTTCACTTCATAATTGTACCACAAATTCAAAAAAGGAACTGTAAACCCTTTTGTTAATTCACAGACTAATTTAAAACAAATTCTAATAACTTTTTTTATATTCAGCCAGTATCACAATTTTTAATTAAAACACTGTTCCTGTCAGCATTTAAGTAATTAGCATAAATAATAAATCAAGATGATTTATTTAAAATGCTAATAAGCCTCCGTGTGCTTAACGCGGCACGGTGTTACAGACTAAAGTTTCAAATCTGTCCGGTAAAACGGGTTGCGGTTGGTCACACTGCCACGATTATTAAAACTACACTTTTACACCGTACGGTACTTTTAACACTTCGATAGTTTAGTCAAGTACGTCACATCGTTAATGCGATGATTACAGTTTCTGACAGCTCGAACATATAGATTTTTTATACAATTTTGATACTTTTCGCTATTAGAACACATCTTCCGTTTCGTTCGAATTACGCTCACGGAGCGGTGCTAAGATTTACATAACATATTTTTGTGTTGCTATTATTTTACTTGAAGAAATTAGAGACCTCCCACAAGAAACCTGGGAAGATCGTATAAAAGAAATATCGGGGTAGGATCGGAAAATAGAGAGGATGGAGTTACTGTTGGAGGTCGTGTACTATTGCTAAACATTTTGGACATGGACTTAATGTAATCTTGATTATGTTATAGTACAATACAGGATTTTTTTTTAAATTATTTTCGTAGTTATTAGATAAATTCTTAGTGCATTTTGAACATAAACCTTTCTATTATGAAATAATTTTAAACATACGAGTACATTACCACGGTATCTATCTTAAAAGACAAAAATAGATGTACTGGAAATGTGGTGTTGGAGGCTAAAGACAGCTAAGGAAACAAACGTGTCCATACTAAGACGGTGACAGGTAAAAAATGATCTTACGACACTTTGTTTTCAACGCATCACACGCAGAAATCCAGAAAGTGTAAAAATTCCTCGTGATGGCAGAGTGGAGGGAACTAGTTCTCGAGGCCGATCCCTTACTCGCTGGACCGATCAAGTAAAGGCCCTGTACACATGTATTACCATCACCCAGGCACAGAGACTTGCCAAAGGTAGAGTGGAGGAAGTTTTGCGACGACACTAACACGAAATTATGCCTGTCCACACAACGGTCCGAGGTTGATTTTGACATTTATGTCCATCTCACATAAAACATATTTTAATTCTATTAAATGAGTTTTTTAAAATGAGATATGTCTATCGGTTTGGTTTATTAGTTGATATTAAAAGTTATCGTATCGTATGAATCATGTCGCTGTCGCCTGATATAAAGTGTTTCAAAGAAAGTACACGATTTAATGATAAGCTATCGATGGAAAAGTATTTCAAAATAATGATATAATTTCTCTGTTTATAGCCCATAAATTAATGCAAATTTAATTATATTTTTCACAACATCTCTTACTAACATTAATTTTGTCAATATCGGAACCAATTAAGTTGCCCCCACACAAAAAAGGGCATGTAGCAGATAATATATTTCTTTTGGGCTTGTATTTGTATTATTCATATTATTATTAATATTGTGTAGATAGCAGCTTTTACCTACTAACCGGAAACAATTATTTATTAAAACGAACGTCTAAAGGAAATTTTTAAATGCAATATGCGATACTTAAAACCAAAGCCATATCAAGCTGTTTCTTGCCATTTCTATCATATGCTTGCCAGACTTGTAAATATACAAAGAAGATAAAAAGAAAAATCAGAACTTGTAAAAGGTTCTAGGTCGGAGAATGCTCAACATTAGAAAAATTTAATTTAAGAAGAATTAAAATTAAAGATACTAAAGCTACTGATGCCCTAAACTATGGTCTAAACCTTAAATGGAGATGGGAAGGACATGTAGCAAGACTATCTGACGATCGATGGACCATAAGGGCGACCCAAAGGTGAGGCCCTTTTGGGAAACGGAAAAGAGGAAGATCGCTCACGAGATGGGGGGATGATATTACTAAAACGGCTGGCTCGAGCTGGATGCAACTCACCCAAGACCGAGATACCTGGAGATCCTTGGAGGAGGCCTTCACCTGCGAAAGGGTTCTTGCTAAATAATTGGGAAATATATATAAGAAATAGGAAAAAAAAATATATAATAGGATTAAGTTTACTTTGTTCTTTTGCAAGACATACTTTTTTATTTGATTTATTTATTTATAAGTAGACGAACCCAGGGTCTACGAGGTAACCAGCATGTGCGTAAACAGCCACAAAGGTACTATGTCCCTCAAATAACAACCACATTTCTTATTTATTTATATATTTCGTAAGTAGTAAGTCAGTGCGATACAAAACTGAGCTTTTTCAGAGTTATGTGAGGAGCGTGAAGCAAAGCACAGGTACGAGACAGGTAACGACAGGATCTGCTATTAATTTTATTTGAGATAATTTTGTTTGTGTTTTTGTACATTTAATTACGTCATTTAGCCAAAAGAGTCACCTTATAACGGCAACACAATTTATATGGTCATATGACCAGACAATATCATTTTCAAACCATTCTATATTACCCTGGCCCGGGTTGAATATAAAAGTCTTTAAACAGCCGCCATCTAGCCGTAGGTTCGATAAAATTGTGTATTTCCAATACAACCTTGTTAAACCATGAAAGCCTTATGTATTATAAATATGAAAGTAGATGGCGCTTTTTACAATTATATGGAAATGTGTTTTGTTTCCATAATATTATGCTAATGTTATTAAAGTATATTTGGTGATATATCTTTGTGTTGTTTTTATATAACTGAAATTATTTTGCTTTAATTATTGTCCTTAAAGTTTTATGGTATAATTAAGTACAAACTCACAACCCGGTGGCAAGAGAAAACCCGGTAGACTTGTGTTGGTGGGATGGAGTTGTCAAGGACCTCGAAACAAAAAGGGTTCGAAATTGGACGCAGGAAGCCCTGGATAGATTGCGATGGTGAAGTGTACTTGAGGCCAAGGCCCACAAGTGGCTGTATTGCCATTAATTATGATGATGGTACGTACGGATGAAAAATCTATGAGTGTACAATCAGAGTCGGACCTCAATGTTTTAAAAAGTTACTAAATGAACTTAAATTATAGTATTACGTCATACAATAACAGGCATAAGAAATTAAGTCTGTTTTCTGAACCGACCATCGCTTACTCACAGCTTCCGTGAATCAATTGATCAGATTGATTTGATGCGTTCAACCCGGAAGCTTTTATAGAACATTTAATCCAAGCGAACAATTCGTTAAAAAACATACAGTGCATCAAACATAGAAGTATTTTTTTTCATACATTTTAGATCAATTTTAATAACTATTTCTACTCTGTGTAGACCTTTTATTAAAAATAAAGAAATTCCTGGACGTACCAGCTAACATGCAGGCGTTAGAGTAATAAATATACGAAATAAATAATTGGGCCGTAATTTTCAACGAAGTAAAAATCTTTTACGGTAGCTTAAGGAATGCTTTAAATTCCTTTTAAAGCATTCCTTAAGCTACCAAAAACTTTTTCAATGTCCATTCAAAAGCACTCAACACATCCTTGACTGTAAATGGGCCATGACATCACCCAAACGGTTGCCGAGCAACGCTATCACCGTCTATTACGTAAAAGTAAACGTCACAATTTTATGTAACCCCCAGAGTGGGGACCGAGTGCAGAGCCAGTCCGCGGCCAACTTTCCATCGACAAGCACGCGTCACAAAACATGACAAACTAACAAAATCGGACGTAAATATAGTGAAAAATGAAAGTGAACTTCATGTGACCGGCAACATGTTAGCGTTCGCTTTGAAAGTGTTTTTATTAACTTCGATCGCAAGTAGTGAGCGAACCCGCGCGCTAAGTTATCCGCGTATGCCGATGTTTGTGCCAAAACGCGTACCGCGCGTATTATTTATCGATGAGGACGATTTTGGCCGCGGCGAAATCGATTTAACGGAGAAACGCTATCCGAAAATCGATTTCCAACCCGACTACAAAGGAAACGATCGATTGTATTCGATCCCAACGTTTTACCAAGGGAGATTCGGCCGGCCGTACGCCCCGAGTTTCGCCTTCGAACCTATTCAAATTGCCCCACCGCGGAATGGGTTTTACCCCCCCGCAAGTGGTTGGAGGGCCCGCTCTCCCCGTGTTGTATTCCCATACAACCCAGATACGAGCAATTCGATAAATACAAACTCACACACAGCGCCGAGTATAGACAATGTTGTGTTTCGTGAACCAAGTATAGATGCAAACGACGTTGCTGGCGAGGATCAGTTGCAGGACATAAGTGGAGACGCTTTCTCCGAGAGAGGTATGTTATGTAATACATATTCGGATGACATAATCGTACAATAGGAATGACTGCGGACTTTTGTTACAAAAATTCTGAAATGAATTGAACGCGCGTTGATGTCTTTTGCTTCAGAACGCCGAACTCACTTTCGCTTTGTGAAATGTAAGGTTTATATAGAGGGATTTAAAAATAACATTAATTACGTAAGCTATTCTACATAAATAGTAACATAAAAAATGACACAAAGCAAGTTATTGATACTCTTGATTTCTTTTAGATGGATAAATATAGATTAGCTGTTTCACCATTGCCCTTATCCCTCAAGTATTTGTATAACATTTTCGACAGCATCATACTTATATCCTGTGGCGTTACAACTCTCCATTAGTTGTAACTTCTTTTTTTAATAAATATTGATTATAAATTCTCTCTAAATGATAAAAAGACCTCCTGCCTAACATTATGCAGTCATGTTTTTTATGATAACAATAATTTAATTAAAAGAATATAGTACAAAAATATTATAGTGGTATATACAAACTTCGCATATTATGCCCCATATAATAGCTTGCTTTATCTTAAAAGGTAGAAATTTACATATAACATTACATTATTAACTTAATATTAGTGTTTCACTTCAATAGTCATTCATAGACTGAAACTTTTCTAAAAATAGTATATATCTAATATAGGCGATATTATATTTAAAAAAAGATATTTCCTGACACCATACGAAAAAATGTTAGAATAGAAAAAAAATTGTACACATTTTGGATAAGCTTAGAAAGGAAAAAGCCAAAAATGAAATTATGTAGATTAGCGTTTGTAAACAGTTTCTTGTTGTCATCAGTTGTTTAATTCAGTTAAAGACTTTTACCTTTTGTTTGTTGTTGACATGCGTTTCCCACAATGTTGTTTATTACTTCATTGTTCACGAACTTAAACTTGGCTTAAAAGAAAAGGAGAAAAGTGTATATTTTAGCTTTACTCTGATTAAAGATATCGTATTTGCCCTGTAAACTTTTGTTCGGGTTTTATTAATAAATTAATGTTTTAAATGCACAATGTATATTAAGATACATATTAGACGACTCATTGGTCTAGTGGTTAGAACCCCTGACTGCGAATCCATGGGTCCCGGGTTCGATCCCCGGCCTAGACAAACATCGATGTGATGAGCATTTGGTGTTGTGCTTAGGTTTCTTGGGTGTTTAAATATGTATTTATATGTCTATATATCTCTATAATATGTATGTATATCCGTTGCCATGGGACTAGGTCAATTGGTGTGAATTGTCCAAAAAAAAAAAAATTGTGTACAGTTTCTGGATCATTGGGTACTTTAAATAGAGGGTTTCATTTTTACTCTATAATTAACCACTCGCGTACAACAATAGAATATGCGAAATAATGAAATGCTAATTGCTATGAAACGAACGAATGCGGTGTAATAGTTGAAGAGAGTGCCTACGTCTGGCTGTACACTCGGGGCGTAACTCCGACGATTTAGGAAAATGCCACGGTTATAAAACTAAGAAAGCCTTAGTGAGCAAAATTGTACCTTCGGTCGTAGACAGTTTATTAAACTTGATTGCCATCCGAATTTTTTCGTTATTGTCAATTGACTGTATGGATAAAGTTATGGAATGTCTCTGTGTGATTTTAAATTTTGTAATCCTACAGCTAACTTAAATTAATATAAACAAATACAATTATTATTAAGCCTTTATTACACCCAGTATATTATATTAACACTTATTTAAGTTACATAATAAATCTTAATCTAATACATCATATGACCCGTTTTAGGTAATCAGCGTGTCCTGTACACATAGGCCTCTTCCAGCTGTTTCCAATCTTTTCTGATGTTAGCTCTTGTCCAAATTGTGCCTCCTATTCTTTTTATATCGTCTGCCCATCTCTTGCTCTGTCTTCCTCTTTTCCTTTTTCCATCGAGTGGTTGAAAACAAAAACAATAAGTTACCTTAAAATAAAATAACATAAATACATTATTAAAAGGAGTCCCTTTAGGCAGGGTTCGGAAGATACTGGCAGCGTTCCCCCTTTGAATAGCTAGACTAATTCTTTGTCCAAGGCCAGCTCTTCGGTCTCCTGTGATGTCGACTACCCTTTTTGCTATTTCCTTAAAAGTAATAATATTACCTATTTAGTTTAATTCAACTACTTCTTCTCTTGGTGCCTCTTCATTACTGGAGATCGGCCGTCAATCTCGTGAAGTGTGTCTTGTTAAGAAGCAGCAACACATTCGCAGTGGCAATACCCATCCACGTCCAAATTACCAAGCCATGATTTATACTATACTCAAATTTCACTTCTATTCAATTCCCTAGACATGGCAATAAAAGATTTTATACAATTGAAATAATAAAAAAAATCCCGATAGATTACTTCATAATATAATAGAGAATTTTAGGAATCTTGCGTGAGTTATTTTTTTAATTTTATTTTTGCTTTTCAGGTAATATAGTGATTTTTTTTATGTAGAATAAATTCAAGAAAAAGCAAAGACAGATTATTATGTTGAATAATGAAACTGTATGTTTTATTATTCATAGAAAGTAGAACTTGTGAAACTATAACATTATTCGTATGAAATTATTAACTTAATGTGGGCTACTTGAATACATTAACAGATTAAAATTGTTTACCAATTTTAAACAGAGTGTCCATGTGTGGCGGTATCACTTAACATCAGATGAGCCTCCTATCCGTTTGCTCTCTGTTCTATAAAAAAAATAACAATTCGTTAACAGTTTACATAGTTTTAATAATATATATATATATTTATTCATTAACAATTCGTTACCTTAAACATATAATAAAAAACAGGTTACTATAATATATACAGGCTGTTCAAAGCCTCCTTTAAATATATAAGTTTACGTGGGTTTGAAAAAAAATATGTTGAACTGAATGTTGAACGACGCTTCAAAGACCACTAAACGTTAAGACTTTCGTCAAAATTCATTCATTTTTCCCACACGCATAACTTGGCAAACAAACAATTTCTTCAATAGGATAGATGAAAGCATTATTTTACAGATAAATTCGTCCATTCGGAATTCGTTCGTTCGTAAATTAATTAATCTGTGGAGTTATTACAAATTTAGCTAGGTAATCTTAACTCTCTTCAAGTCTAATTAAAACGCTTTTGATTATGATAATTTTATATAATTATTTGATACATCATATACTTGAGACACAGAATTTCTATCTTACTTATAATATCGTATAGCAAATGTTTTCCTATTACCAAGTTTAGTAAGTTGTAGTCCTAGGAACGTTTTTTTTGAGCGAGCGTCATATCGTAGAGATGTGGGGTCACTCTGCATCTTCTACCGCATTTATTATGTAGAGTGTTCAGAGGAGATGTTCGAATTAATAACCTGCAAGCCGGCAACGAACTCGCGAGCCCGTTTTCATTGAGAGTGTCCATGGGCGGCGGTATCACTTAACATCAGGTGAGCCTCCTACCCGTTTGCCCCGTTCTTAAAAAAAAAAATAGTAGTAGTAATTAAATAATCATTTAAAAATACGCAATGAAATTTATTAGAAACTATGTTCTTCTAATATTGCTTTTATAAGCACCTGAAGTTATTAAAAGCCAATTATATAAATTAGGAAAAATTCGTGCGTGAAGGCTTCGATTAAAAGCTTGATGGTTCACAAAATTGAGTCTCTTTTATGATTGAATTACTAGTAATGTAGGTTATCTTTTGCTTGGGCTAGTGTAGGTACCGTTTAAATGAAATTAATTTACATATTTAAGTTATGGTTGTTTCAGCTTTTAAATCTATTTTTGTTTTCTTACAATAAAGTTCACAAAAAAATGCAACTGTACATGAATTACCTAGCCTATACAATGGCTAATAAGTAATACATATTATGTGGACTTAATTTTCTACAATACTAGTGAATAGCTTAAACTAAAGTAATGTTAATTAAAAGTCTCAGTGTTCTATATTGTTTTGCGACTTTAATATATTATTGTGTCCGAATAATATCACCTGTGTTGTATAGTTTAAAAAATTTTGTATCACCTAAAATTTTACTTGAAATATCAAACTCTATAATATTAGGATTGATGCGTTCAGCAGAACGTAATTTTGGGGTAATTATAATTGTATACCGAGTCACGTTTTTATCATATTATTAGTAATATCATTCAGAACAGTTAACGCCAAGCAATTCCACGCACATTCACTAGTTTTTAAATAGAAATTTGTTAAACAAGGAAAAGACGTCAAATGTTATTTTGATAGAAATTGCGGTCAAGTCTCTTCCTTATTCGCATTGTAATAATGTTGAAATTCGCTTGCATAATATAACACTCTCATTTTTATTGGTCGCGTGACAATATGTAGCGTGTATTCAAATGTAGGGAACTATGATTAGAAGTGGATTTTCGCAGTTAATCTACGCATAGCTACGCTTGCCAAGGCTGTCATAGTTCCAATTTTAAATCCAGTATTCCAAATTTAAAAACATAGATGTCGCTTAATACTTTTTGCGTAAGCCACAGACTATGTTGGAAGTCGAAATCCAATGGAGCACAAACATCTACCTCAAAAAGGATTTAGATTCGCCTAATAAATCCTTTGCCTTTAACACATTACACTAGCCAAGGCTACATAGTTCCCATTATAATCTATTATTCCAAATTCAAAAACATAGATGTCGTTTAATACTTTACGCCAAAGCCACAGACTATGTTCGAAGTGGAAACTCTTCGAAATGAAACAACTACCCCAAAAAGGGTTTTTGACTAGCCTAATAGTCCTTAACACGCGATAAACCGCTAATAGAACAAATCAAAAAGTTCTGAAATGTTTTATGCGCTATATACATTTTTATAAAAGCTTTTACTATCAAAGTTGCTTAAACTTAGTTTTATTGACTACAGCCCTGCGATTCTGTAACTCACTTTTCGAAAAAGTGGGAGCTTGTAGTTTATTGTTTATTAGAATGCCAAATCATAAAATGACTGCTTCACGACTGATTTGAGAGCGACCGCCGATGCGAAAACCGCTGTGCGAGTTCG